TTTTTAATTCTCCCTTTTGTCGCTTGGAAATATAGAGTAACCGCTTAGAAGTAAGACGACCCGCTCTCTCGTGGGTGCTTTTTATACTCCCCACACGTGCGCTCGCCAGACAGACAGAGAGAGACAGAGAGACAGAAAGCGAGAAATCACCCCCCAGGGGGGATGGTCACGCCGCAATCCCTTCTCCATTCTCCTCTCAGGATCTTGGGCACGCACACACACGCGCCTGGCGTGTCTTAAGCCACCGGGTCCGGGCCGCGAACCACAGTCGACCACGTGGGAGTCCAGCGACATAGCTATTACGCTAACTGCTGGTTCCCTTTTCAGAAAACTCCTTTCCAGATGACAAAACTGCAGCTCAGCATGGCATAATCTCTCAGCCAAGTCACCCAGCTGGCTAGTGCCGGAGCCAGACATGCCACTGTCAATTTTGGCACAGCAGGTCCAAAATGTTTTTAAAATCACATCACCCAACAGAAAAAATACATTTGCTCACATATCAATATATAGACATAATTTACAATTTTAGATGCATGTAGTCTCAGGGTAATACATTACATGCATAGAAAGAATTTCTTTTTTCTTTTTTTCTTTTTTTCTTTCTTTCTTTCTTTCTTTCTTTCTTTCTTTCAATTTTACCAGAGAGAAACAGAGACAGAGAGAGAGAAAGTGAGAAAGCAAGCCTCCAGGTGCGGGACTTGAACTGCAGTCGGCCATGTGGGAGTTCAGCGCCCTCAATCACCACTCCACCTGCTGGCCCCAGAAGACTTTTCTTTTCTATTAACTTTTGTTTATTCGTTCGCTTATTTTAATTTGACCAGAGAGAGAGAAAGTGCCAAAGCAAGTCACCAGGTCCAGGACTCAAATCGTGGTTGACCATCTGAGAGTGTCCAACACCTTAACCACCACATCACCTGCTGGTTCCTGAGACTTTTTTTTTTGGAGAGTTTTTTGCTATAGGGCGCATGTGCTCACCAGAAAGACAGAGAGAGACATAGAGACAGAAAGCGAGAAATCACTCCCCAGGGGGGATGGCCATGCCGCAATCCCTTCTCCGTTCTCCTCTCGGGATCTTGGGCACGCACGCACACGCGCCTGGCATGAGTTTAAGCTGCAGGGTCCGGGACTCAAACCGCGGTTGACTACATGGGAGTCCAGCGACATAGCCATTACACCAACTGCTGGTCCCTGGGACTTTTCTTTTTACACTGTGGCCTATGTTTACCTTTTTTCCATAAGCAGATAATAGTTTTATTATTTTTATCTTTTTTTTTTTTTGCTATAGAGTACATGACTCGCCAGAGAGCGAATGTAAGAAAGCATCCCCTAGGGGGATGGCACTGCACAATCCCTTCTCTTTCAGTCTCCTCTTAGGATTTGGGCATGCCCGCACTCGCACTTTACATAATTTTAAAGCCACTGGGTCCAAGACTCCAACCAGGCTGTTGGTCATATGGGATCCAGTGCCTTAACCTCCTTGCCATCTGCTGGCATAGTTCTATTTTTTAGAATTATTTTATTTAACTTTATTCATTTATTTTTATTTATTTATTTTAGTTTGACCAGAGAGGGAGGGAGTGAGGGAGGGAGAGAAAGAGGAGAGAGAGAGAGAATGAAAGTGAGAAATCAAACCACCAGGTCCAGGACTGGGACTGTGGTTGGCCATGGGGGATTCCAGCGCCCTTAACCACCATGCCACCTCATCTATGGGCCCCCCATAGTTCTATTTTTTTCATAACAAAAGTATTTTTCTCAAAAAGTATGGGGGGAACCAGCAGTTAGCTTAATGGCTATGTCGCTGGACTCCCACGTAGTTGACCGTGGTTCGCATCCCAGACCTGGTGGCTTAAAACTCACGCCGGGTGCGTGTGTGTGCGTGCCCAAGACCCCGAGAGGAGAATGGAGGAGAAGGGATTGCGGCGTGACCATCCCCTCTGGGGGGTGATTTCTCGCTTTCTGTCTCTATGTCTCTCTCTGTCTGTCTGGCAAGCGCATGCGCCCTATAGTGAAAATCTCTACCCCCGCCAAAAAAAAAAAGTATGGGAACCAGTGATCTACATAAGTCCAATATAGTAGCTATCTAATAAGATAGTTAATAGCCATATATGGCTATTTATATTTAAGTTAAGGGCCAGCCGTGTAGAATGATACAGTGGTTAATCATTGTGCATTGAGGGACCAGCAGATGGCGTAAAGGTTACATCACTGGACTCACCCAGCGGCTTAAAACTCATGCTGAGTGCATAAGGGACTGCGTTAGATTGGAGGAGAAGCGAAAGGGATTGTGGCATTGCCATCCCCCCAGGGAGCAATCTCTTGCTTTCTGCCTCTGTTTTTCTTGTGAGCACACATGCCTTGTAGCAAAAATCTCTAAAAAAAAAACAAAAAACCAGCATTGTGCCTTAGGAGCCAGATCCCACATGGCTAACTAGTTTGAATCCTAGCCCAAGCAACTTGAAACACATGAGGCATGCAAAATCACGATGAGAAGATAAAAAGATTATGGTTTGACCACAGCATGTGGGAGGGTACTTTCTCTTCATCTCTTTCTGTTTTTTTGACGGGCACGTGCAGCCTCTGGCAATGAAAAAATAAAGTGTTGGGGTGATAGGTGCTGAACTCCCACATAGTCAACCATGGTTCAAGTCCTGGACCTGTCGGCTTGGTTTCTCACTCTTCCGCCATTTCTCTATGGTCAAATTAAAAATAAATAAATAAAATTAAATAATTCTTTTTAAAAAAAGTGTTGGGTCCAGCTGGTGGCAAGGTGGTTAAGGTGCTTCCACATTGTCGACTGCAGTTCGAGTGCCCAGATCTGGCAGCTTGCTTTCTCACTTTCCCTCTCTCTCTCTCTCTGTCTCTCTCTGCTGAGTGCATGTGGCCTATAGCAAATTTAAAAAATAATAATAAATAAAATTAAATCATTATTTTAAAAATTGTTTTAACTTTATTTATTTATTTATTTTAATTTGATCAGAGAGGAAGAGAGAGAGAACAGGATAGAGAAAGTGTGAAAGCAAGCCACCAGGTCCAGGACTTGAACCACAGTCGGCCATGTGGGAGTTAGGGGGTTAGCCCCCCTAACCACCATGCCACCTTCTGGTCCCTAAATAAATCATTCTTTTTTAAAAAGTGTCGTTTTTAAAAAAGTAATCAAAAAGAAATAGAATTAAAAATTCAGTTTGAGCTGATGTGGTGGTTAAGATGGCTGGATCCCGCAGGGCCAACTATGTGGTTCAAGTCCCAGACCCAGTGGCTCGAGAAAAATACTGGGTGTGTGTGCATGTACGCATACATGCAGAAAATCCCTAAAGGAGAGAGATGGAGAAGAGGGAGTTGTGGTGTCACTATTCTCCATGGGAATGCTTTCTCTCTCTTTCTCTCTCCCCCTGGTGAACACACTTGCCCTCTGGCAAAATTTTAAAATTCAGTTCATTAGCCACATTAGTATTACTGCAAGCCCTCAATGGCCACATATGGCTGGCAGCTACTCTATTGAACAGAGCAGGTAAAGAACCTTTCCCTTGGGCCAGCAGATGGGGTGGAGGGTTAGGGGGGCAGGTTCTA